CGGCGCAGGCTGCCCCCGGCCGGCCGGGGGGAAGGCGGGAGCCGCATCCCCACGGTGCTCGGCGCGGGCCAGAGCTCGGCCGGGGCCGGGCTGAGTGTATCGGCTTCCACTTGGCTCCTGAATAAACAAAGCGAACATATGTCCCGTATTCGTGACAGATGGTTCAAACAGAGAACTATTTAGTGGTTTTCCCACAGTTGCTACTATGTAGCGCTCCCCCGAAACCCAACAAAATGCAATTAGCCTAAAATAGCGTCAGTTTCCAGATTTCCTTGTTTTCATACGCGGAAAATTTGATTCAGGTGGTTTTATGTTTTAGCTGCAACCAAATGTTGGAGGGTTTTTAAATAAAATTAAAAAACTCGGTGTGTACTTTACTTGGCAATTTTGTCAACAAGCTATTTGGCCCATTTGACTTAAGGAATTTGCTTCGCCTCACAATAAATTTTGCCTAAAGGAGTTTGCCTCACCTCATGAGATGGAAGATGATCAGGCTGGCCACTTTTATAGCGAAAACTGGATGGCAGATGGAGCTAAACTGTTGTAAGGTACTTCAGAAACACTTATTTAAAAGCTTAGCATATGCCAGGATATACAGAGAATACAACACTCACAGAACCCGAGTGGAAGCTTTATTTTTTTGTTTTGTTTTCCCCTCCTGCCACTTTTTCTTAAAAGACAGATTTGTATATCTATCAAAAAAAAAAAAAAAAACAAAACCCCAAACCAAAAAAAAACCCTGTCCAGACTACTGGTTCTCTCCATGAAGTAGTAATAGTGATGTTAAGTTGCAGCTAATTAAGTCACAACTGTTTGTGTTTTGGTGTTTCGTATGAAGGGGCATATACTATTATATGGTCACAAAATCTATTACCTGCTGCATGTACAAGGACATAATTGGAGAAACAAAGACAACAACCAGATTTCTAGAGTATTTCAAGATAATTAGAAGGTGCTAGGTTGGTGATGGCACTGATGATTCAAGACAGGTTCAGCTTTTGAAGTAGCTGGTATTTAATGAAATGAGTTGGCCTTCCAAACACTTCAATACAAATCAAACTGGGTGATATAGAGAGATGATTAATCATAGAACAGAATAGAATGGTTTGGGTTGGAAAGGACCTTAGAGATCTTCTATTCCCACCCCCCGGCCACTAGACCAATTTGCTCAAAGCCTCATCCAGCCTGGCCTTGAACACTTCCAGGGATGTGTGGAAGTTGCCACAGCTTCTCTGGGCAACCTGTTCCAGTGCCTCACCACCCTCACAGTGAAGAATTTCTTCCTAATACCTAATCTAAATCTGCCCTCTTTCAGTTTGAAGCCATTACCCCTCATCCTATCGCTACATGCCCTTGTAAAAAGTCCCTCCCCAGCTTTCCTGTAGCCCCCCTTTAGGTACTGGAAGGCTGCTATAAGGTCTCCCCAGAGCCTCCTCTTCTCCAGGCTAAACAACCCCAATTCTCTCAGCCTGTCCTCATAGGGGTGGTGCTCCAGCCCCTTCATCATCTTGGTGGCTTCATTACTTCTTCACTGGTAATTTTGACGCCATTATGGCACATAAGCTTTGTACAGAAGTCATCTGTACGTCTAATACACAGGTAGCATTATTCTCCTGTTATTTACAAGTCTATGTCAGGAATAGCTATGACATTCACAGCAGAGCAAGGCAAGTGGAAGTAAGACTGAAATCCAGGCTACTATTTACAAAACCATTCATGCACTAATGTCCTGAATACATATATATATACACACACACATATATACACACACAGAGTATTATTTGGCATATAAAAGCAACACATTGCAAATCTCTGCATTAATAGCTACTTTTGCTGTTATAAAACACAGCTTTTGTGCAGTGTTTACTATTACAGTGAAACTAAAATCATGTTTTAAGTGTTAAAAATTGAATAAAATGCTACTGATAGTTCAGAAATAACAAGACAGCTGGAAAGCATGCATCCAAAATTCTGAATATTGTAACTGAACACTCCTCTTGCCAGTATTTTGACTCATCTCTGGAAAACTATCACCCAAAGTGAAAAAAGGTTAAAATGTCTTAATCAAAAAATGTTTTAAAATGCAACCATGTTCTAAAAAAAAAAAAAAATCCAAGAAGAAAGTCCATGTTACATAGAGTTGCTCAGAATATCCAATCCCTGCACACTCTTTAACAGGACTGCAGGTGTGAGAAAGCTTCTTGCAGATTACAAGGACATTTGTTCCACAGCAGAAACTGCCAATTTATCTTTTTTTTTCTTTCAGAGATGGAATTATTTATAAATCATGTCAACTTCCTTCCAGTATTTTTTAATTAATCTGAGGATGCTATCCTTTCCATTTATTACTAAACTAATTTCCATGTCCTGCTAGCTAGCACTGAGACAACACAAGTACTTTACTCTTTGTAGAGGAATCGCTGTGGTTTTGGGTAGCTGAAGTCATGTGCGTGTTGAACTGGTGTCATATTTACACACAAGGTATGCAGCTTTCCTCAAGTGCCATGTTGTATTAGTATTTGCTCTGCCGCAAATCGTAGCTACAAATAATTTTCTTTTTTTTTCAAGAATTTAAAAAGATACCAGACAAAAACCCATAAGCCACTCTGTGGCTGGAGTCATAATCCTTCTGATCTTTGCACATTCTATTCCAATTGCCTTTTACCTCCTCTGAGGTAAAATTAAGTCAATGGATGGTTTGACTGAAATCAACAACAAAGCAAGGTCCACCTTACAATTTGCATCTGACAATCGCTCAAACCATAAGGCCCTTCACCCAAATGAATAATAAAAAAAATAAGCCATACAGAAATCCTTAATGTGAGCATTTTAAAGATATTTAAGCTGGTTTTCTATTCTGTTGATTGAGTTTTATAAAAAAGTTCCAGAACAATTAATATAATATAGCATATATAAGGTACAGCTGGTAGGGACAAACATTTCATTAGAAGACAGATGACAACATAATCACCTCTGAGTTATTGTTTAAAGGCCATTACAATATAAATAATGTGGAAGACAGTACTACCTACTTCAAGCCACTTTCTGCCAGCATTAACTGCTAGTACTTCAGTCTTTACATAATTTTTGTTACTTGGTTCTTTCTAGCTACCTACATTAGCTGGTACTCTTTCATTGAACACTTTTAATAAAGACAAAGTAATGATGATAGAGGGGTATTTGATACTAAAACTTCTGTAAAAAACAGTGCTTCAAACACTGTTCTTTCAAAGTAGGTTGAGATAAGTGAACCCTTAACTATGGGCAGTTTTAAGCTTCCTGTCACCTTCCAGCCTGAATCCAAATGCCCTGAATACAGCAACAGCATCAAACTACACCTGTAGTCAGGGCCATATGGTACTTGAGGCCAGCCATACAAGATGTGCAAAGCTAGAATACTATTTTTTCTGCATTCAGTTTCACTGGTTTTCCTTCTGCCTCCTCCTTTGCATGTAAATTAACGGCTGACAGCAAACTCTCAGAAGGCTGTCACGTGCAGAAAGAACTGACTCAAATGCAGTCGATATTGTTTTGCAGCCAGTCCCACATGCAAAAGCTGCGGTGTTGGAGCACTGCATTAGGTTGTTATGGCTGGCAGCAGTTCAGATGACAATGTAACAGTAAACTGACAAGAAGGTTCAATTACTACATTGACTGGGCCACAGTTAGCCTGCAGATTCCCTTTCTCATCTCTGCCATAGACCTCCTTTTAAAGACTGAACCCTGCAAGAAAATATTGAAGTTGGAGCCAACTGAGCCTGAGGAACATTACACAGTATTATCTGTAGGCGCGGTAGCTATGTGAAGAGAAAGTATGCTGAGAATAAGAACAGTGTCATGAACTTTCAATAGAATTCTTTGGGGAAGGAATAGGTGAAGCAAAGCTGAAGCTGAACTAATGAGTCAGATATAGCAGGTGGGGGAGAGCAAGCAACTGATGGGAAAATGTCTGTGTGTGGTGGGAGCACAAAAAGTAGTGTTTACACAGGAGGCTTTATTCAGTAATGACTAAGGGAGAATAGACAAGTTCGAGAATT